TGTTACCAATACAAGAAGAGAGAAATGTTTGAAGTGATGGATATCCTAATTACCCTGATTTGATTATTACACATTGTGTACATGTATCAAAATATCACATATACCACAAAATACATACAACTATTATACATCAGTTTTTTTAAAAGAAAAAATAATTATGTAATAACTATGTGCTATTGTCAATATTCTTCTGTTATTAATAAGACCAGTGACCTGGCAGGAATTTTAGTCACTCAACAGTTTAAGCCCGTGTATCATAATGTTTTGAAAATATCAGTTATACTTTGTTATTTTAAAAGAGTGCTAGTAAGATATTATGTGGATCTCTTATACTGAGTGATTTTTAGCATTTTATTTATTTTTAATTTTCTTATTTTTTGAGACAGGGTCTCGCTGTGTTGGCCAGGTTTGGTCTTGAATTCATAGTCTCAAGCATTCCACCTGTCTCAACATCCCAAAGTGCTAGGATTACAGGCATGAGCCACTATGCCTGACTTGGCATTGTATTTATGAAGTGTTTTAACAGGAAAAACCAGGATTATTTTTATATACTAATAGTCTTATAAAATAAGGAAGCTCTGAAAATTGTCTAATTTGTATCCAGTTCATTTCAGGAAAACTTGAGTGAGCACCTGCTAGGTGGGAAGTGCTGTGAATTATGTTTCTTTCTGAGCTCATTTAGTAAGGGGCATCAGAGCCTATTCAGGTTACTTCAGTATAAGACAGTCTGAAATTGTGTGGTGGAGGTATGAAGTACAGTAGGAAAATGTTAAATCAGTTTATCCTGGGAAGGAATTGGGTTTGATAAAACTTCTTTTAACTTTTTATAATTTCTGCTGCCTTGAAACTAAATGCAATCTCCTGCCTACCTTTTAGCCCCTCTCCTGCTCAACCATAGTCTATATCCTGAATAACTGGTATGATATTTTATTGTATCTCGGTTCTTACCCTCTTTTCTAGTCAAGCAACTTATGGTATCTGGTATAGGATGGTTACTAAGTTCCTATGCAGGAGATGCAACAATAGCTGAGACTTAAAAATAGCCATTAGCAAGTGCTTTAACCATTAACATGGACAAAAAAATGTGGAGGAAAAAAAATTTAAATGGATGTGGAAAATGGAGAGGAGCATACAGATAACTTCTAAGTTTATCATAGAAACTTTGTTTCCAGTCTATTTATAGGCTTCTGTTTTTACTTCCTGAGTTTAGAGACATTAGAACTTGGAAAATTACAACTCCCTAAGGAAAAAAGAAAAGCCATATTCTCTGTCCTGTAGGCCAGCGGTCCCCAACATTTTTGACACCAGGGACCTGTTTTGTGGAAGACAATTTTTCTACGGACAAGGGCGGGAGGAGGATGGTTTCTGGATGATTCGACTGTATTACATTTACTGTGCACTTTATTTCTGCGATTACATTGTAATATATAATGAAATAATTACACAGCTCACCATAATGTAGAAACAATGGAAGCCCTGAGCTTGTTTTCCTGCGACTAGACAGCCTTATCTGGTGGTGAAGGGAACAGTGACAGATCATCAGGCATTAGGTTCTCATAAGAATCATGCAACTTACATCCCTTGTACACACAGCTCACAGTAGGATTTGCACTGCTATGAAAATCTAATGCCGCCACTGATCTGACAGGAAGTGGAGCTCAGGCAGTAATAGGAGTGATGGGAGCAGCTGTAAGTACAGATTCAGCTTTGCTTGCTGGCCGCTCACCTCCTGCTTGCAGCCTGGTTACTAATAGGCTGCAGATAGCTACTAGTCCATGACCTGGGGTGGGGACCCCCACTCTAGGCCTTTCATATGCTTGGAAAACCTTGTCCTGACTGATATTTTGTCCTTTGAATAACTCAAACTTTTCTAGGAAGTTATTCCTCTAATTTTTCAATGAGTTAGATGTTCCTATTAAAATCCTGGGTGTATCCACACGGAATTATGATTGCTTATTGTATTTGTATAGACCAGTATTTCTCAACTGGGGCCTCCCAGGGATATTTGGCAATGCCTGGATGCATATTTGGTTTTCACAGTAAGATGGGTGCTATGGCATCTCGTGAGAGATCAGGTATGCTGCTAGAACACCCTATTGTAGTATGCAGGATAGCTGAGTTCGTTTCAGGATTAATATTGTTTTATTTGCACTTTTTAATTTGTGTAAAAATGAAGATAGTACAAATATATTATTGGCTGTCCATTTCCAATTAGTACTTACTTTCCATGATAATACAGATTTTCATGAGTGGCTGCTGGATAATTAAGTGGATAATTAAGTTATCCACTTAATTTTCTACTTGTAACATAGGCCTAAAAATGTGTGTATTAAGAATAAAAGAATATTCCTGAATAATTTTAGATGCATGTTAGAATGCTTTCAAGGAAAGTAAGGGTGATATACTATTGAAGTATCTGAATTCTATGCATTTATTAAAACCTAAAATATGTTTGTGTTGGTATGGTAAAGAAGCTTTTTATATCATTGATACTACTACTTTTACTTTAGTTCTAAATAAGTGTTCAAACTATTTCATTATAGTAGAAATAGCCTTTCATTTTATTCTGAGTGTGTCGCATATCTTGTTACTAAGCAAACATATGAGCTGGGTATTTAGGTGTTTGGGAAATTTCTGCTTTCAAAACAGCTCAGAGAGAGGGGAAAGTGACAAAACCCCATATAAATAGTGCAGTAGTATATATAGAAAGTACTGGGGAGAATTGAGGAGGAGAGGGCATTCAAGTTGTGTCCAAACTACCAGCCTAATAATAAGGGATAGGTTTTACAGGTAGAGAAAATAGTTTGTGTGAAAAGTAAAGAGGCGTAAAAGAGCATGAAATCTGTGAGTCACTGTGCATGCTTATAGCTTATGGTGCTTAGGGATAAGGGAGTGTTCAAAGATCATTTTCAGAAAAAGGTAAAACCATGACTCTCTCATACAGATATAAAAATGTATGTGGCCAGGAGTGGTGGCCCACGCCTGTAATCCAGCACTTTTGGGAGGCCAAGTGGGCTGATTACTTGAGGTCAGGAGTTCAAGACCAGCCTGACCAACATGATGAAATCCCGTCTCTACTAAAAATACAAAACTTAGCTGGGTGTGGTGGTGGGCACCTGTAATCTTGGCTGCTCGGGAGGCTGAGGCAGGAGAATTGCTTGATGGCGCCACTACACTTCCAGCCTGTGTGACAGAGTGAGATTCTTGTCTCTGGGGGAAAAAAAACAAAAAAAGAATGCTAAACTTATTCAAAGAAATGTTTTATCAGTTCAGATGTAAAACTTTAAACAGCACAAATTTATACAAAGTAATGGAATGTTGAAATAAGTTGTGGATGGTAGCAAAGCTGTTTTTTTCCCCATAGAATGGGAAAGAAATCAACAAATTTCTATCAGATACAATAGAAATTGCATGTTTGTCACTTGCTTACAATTTATAGATTTCTGAATAGCTCCCATGGAATCAGTCTGAACAATGTGTGTAGTTTTCCATTGGAGTAGTTTTTTTTTTTTTTTCTATAGGAACAGCAGGAAATTGGAAAGCACCTTCCAGTGTTCTACCAAAGAATCTGTACCATATATAATATGGAGTCAATAACATTTTTGGATTTAGAGAATGAAATCAGGCTGTGTTTTAGATTAAACAGTTGAGGTGGCAACGTATAGGATTCATTGAGGGAGCAGTCAGTACAGTTAGACTGTTGGAGTGGCACTAAGAGGGAAGAGGAGGGACAGATTGAGTGTTCATTAGGAATTACTAAGTAGGTGAGGCAGTGAGAAGAGACAAGGCCTCTGGCTTAAGCAATTGTAAGGATAATGGGTCATTTTACTGAGAAAGGGGAACTATAAGAGGAAAAGCAATGTTAGGAGAAAAACAAAGATAGTTTTTGGACATTTGCCTTTTGAGATGATATGGCATACAAGGTGGAAATGTTCCTTATACAGTTATAAGCTATAGGTGTGGAACTAAGAAAAAGGATTGTGGGCTAAAGATTTTAGTCTTTAGTCTGGAATGATCATTTAAATTGGAATTTATGTTAGAATAAGTAACGTCGATCAGTTTCTTAGGGAGAAAATACGGAGAAGACAAAAAAGACCAAGAATCCTGGGAACATCTTTATTTGCATGGTCCTAAAGAAAATTATGTCTATATCCCAGGTGCATTATAATTTGGTTGTCAGTCTTGCTTTTAATTTTTAATAACACCTATTCAGCTTTAATTTTATCTTTCATTGACATCTGAAACCATATTTTTTCTTAGGTTGTGGCCTGTTCATAGACTAGCAGGAAAACTTTGAATAAAAAATTCTTATTCATGTATCATTTTAGCGATATGCTTCCTCATTTTAGATATCAAGTTGACAAAGACTTAGTTTGGAGTTGTGCACTAGTGTGAAAAGTGAGATCACCAGTGGACGGAGAAGAAAGAGGAACTCAGCCTTAGATGTCTTATAGTCCTGTCCTTAAAGGATTGTGGATTTCTGTAATTACATCTCTGTAGCAAATGCATTTCAGACTCATTGAAGACTAAGGGCTGGTGGCTGTGCTGCTCTGCTCTGCGATTCAGGATTATTTTATAGCTAAATTTGAATGGATTCTACTGTTGAGTAATTGAGGGAAAGAGAAGCCTACATTATTTGTGTTCACATTTTACCTTTCTTCACAATCTCATGGTTAGTTTATCATTCTGTTTCGAAAGAATATACTGACCCTATTTTATCCTGTTTGTTGGAGTTCATTTTGACATAGAAACTCCCCTCCATCACCACTGTCACCACCATGTAGGTAGGAAGTACAGTTTTAGATTATTAAATCTACTTATTTAGTTTTTTAAAAATGTATATATGGATAGATTATAAATTATGAAATATATTTAGAGGATTTTGTGGTTAGAATTTGTTTGAAAAAGCTTTTTAAACTGGCATTTTTGTATTTAATAATAATTACAGTTTAAAATTCAGAGAAACATTGAAAATTTTTACTTTTGTATTTTCTTTTTAGATCATCCAATTATGATGGGTTTTGAACCCCTTGTGAACCAGAGGCTACTTCCACCTACCTTCCCTCGATATGCAAAAATAATTAAAAGGGAAGAAATGGTCAACTATTTTGCCAGATTAATAGATAGAATAAAAACTGTCTGTGAGGTTGTGAATTTAACAAATTTACATTGTATCCTGGTAAGTACAAATCTCTGTTCCAGAATATAACTTCCATTTAAAAAAAAATTGATACATAGTAATTCTACATATTTATGGGGTAAGTTTAGTTTAATAACAGAATATTGATCACTTTATAGACACTGACCAAGGGTAAGTACTGCTCTTTGTCTATTTTCTGTGATAGCTAGAGGATTAAGTGGTTCATAAATGTTATACATACGTACAATCTGTTTAATCCTCAAAAGCTCTTACACTGTTTTAGTGATTAAGAAGCTCAAGTTGAAAGGTTAGATAATTCATCCAAGATTTGTTTGTTTTGAGACAGGATCTCACTGTTATCTAGGCTGGAGTGCAGTGGCATGATCTTGGCTCAAAGCGACCTTGAACTCTTTTTTTTTTTTTTTTTTTTTTTGTGGAGATGGGGGTCTTGATACATCACCCAGGTTGGAGTACAGTAGGACATTCTCAGCTCACAGCAGCCTCAAACTTTCTGGCTCAAGCGATCCTTCTACCTCTCAGTGTCCCAAGAAGCTGGGACCATAGGCATGTGCCACCACACCTGACAGTTTTTTTGTGTAATCATTATTTTTGTAGAGATGGGGACTCACTATGTTACCCAGGCTGATCTTGAACTCCTGAGCTCAAGCAGTCCTCCCACCTCTGCCTCCCAAATTGCTGGGATTGCAGGTATGAGCCATTGTGCCCTGCCTAGCCTTGAACTCTTGAGGTCAAGTAATCCTCCCACTTCAGCCTCCCAGGTAGCTGGTAGAGATACATGCTACTAGACCTAAATAAATTTTTTTTGTTTTTACTTTTTTTTTTTTTTTTTGAGATGGGGTCTCCTTCTGTCGCTCAGGTTGGACTGCAGAATGTGATCTCCGTTCCCTGCAACCTCTGCTTCCCAGGCTCAAGCTATCCTTCCATGTCAGCCTCCTAAGTAGCTAGGACTGCAAGCATGTGCAACCATGCATGGCTAATTTTTTGTATTTTTTCGTAGAGACAGGGTTTCACCATTTTGCTGAGGCTGGTCTCTAACTCCTAAGCTCAAGCAGCCCACCTGCTTCAGCCTCCCAAAGTGCTGGGATTACAGGTGTGAATCACTGTGCCCGGCCAATTTTTAAATTTTTATTTATTGTGCAGACAAGGTCTTACCATGTTGCCAAGGCTGGTCTTGAACTCCTGGTCTCAAGCAGTCCTTCCATCTTGGTCTCCCAGAGTGCCAGGATTACAGGCATGGGCCAGCGCTCCTGGCCTCATCTAAGTTTTAAGAGTGGGGATTAAACTCTGGATTCTCTCTTCAAAACATATAAATGTGTGTGTGTGTGCATATATATATATATATATATATACATACTGGTATGCACATATATACATATGTATTTAAGTATGTATATGTTTTTGTATATAAAAATGGAATCATGGTGTTTACCTGCTTTTAAAAATTGCTAATTTCTGTGTCATGGACATCTTCCTTTTCATGTCAATAAATTCATGACAAATTCTACATTATTTTAATGGCTGTGTGGTATTCCATTATAAGCATATATTAACAGGTTTTTTCATTTCATTCATATTAAATTACATTTAGGTCATTTTCAGTGTTACAAATCATACTAAGATGAACATATTTATAAATAAATCATTTTATCATATGCTTCCTTCCCCCGTAAGATAAATTCCTAACAAATGAAGCTGCTAGGTTAAAGAATATGCACATTTTTAACTGTCTTATTTTGGATTAATCCTTTTATGGGTTAAAATAGAGAAAAACTCTAAAAAGCTCATTTTAAGAACATTCAGGGTTGGAATTTTGTTTTTCTCCTGTACCCTCTGACAGCCTAAAAGCTTTTTAATTGGTAAGTTATAGTAACACATAGAAGGTTAGTAGGAACATAGAAAAATGTGCAAGAGTACTGTTTTCTTAGGAATAAGCACACTACGTGTGTGGCATAGCTAGGCATTTGAGTGTTGTTACCTTACATGGCAAGGTATGGAATTGCTAGCCCCATGTCATTTCTTCTGTGAAATCTTCCACTTTGGTTGCAGGTTGCCATATTACTTGTGTTCCTTGAGATCACACAGTATATAGTTTATACTCCTAGTACTTAGCAGCAGTCTCTGAGAAATAGTTGATAGTAAAGATTTGTGCTTTTGTTTATATTCTGTATTTTTCCTTCTATTCTTTGTCATTAAAACCTAGCTTAAGTCTTCATTCCTTAGTAAAACTTTCACTGATTATGCCTTTATTACCTTCTGTTGCGTTTATTTTCTTATTAGGTTGCTCTTATTGCATCATAAGAATCAGAATTTTAAAAATAGACAAAGATCATAGACAGAAAGCCAGTTTTACAGCTAAACAAAGATTCAGAGGTTCTAAAGTAACCAGATTATAGTAGCATATCTGGAATGAGAATAGATATTTTCTTACTGTTTTCTGCCACAGTGACCCTTTTTCTTTTTCTTTTTTCTTTTTTTTTTTTTTTTTTGTGTGTGTGAGACGGAGTTTCACTCTTGTTACCCAGGCTGGAGCGCAATGGCGCAATCTCGGCTCACCGCAACCTCCGCGTCCTGGGTTCAGGCAATTCTCCTGCCTCAGCCTCCTGAGTAGCTGGGATTACAGGCACGCGCCACCATGTCCAGCTAATTTTTTGTATTTTTAGTAGAGACGGGGTTTCACCATGTTGACCAGGATGGTCTCGATCTCTTGACCTCATGATCCACCCGCCTCGGCCTCCCAAAGTACTGGGATTACAGGTGTGAGCCACCGCGCCCGGCCCACAGTGACTCTTTTTATCTTAATTGTTACATGGATATGTATTCGTGTTCATCAGATTAATTGCAAGATCTTTAAGAAATCAACCTATAAACCCTTATCAACCATAAGGTAATATGTTCTTGATGTATATAGTTGTTTTGCCAGTTGTATTGGTAGGCAAATGGACTTTAAAATTTTTTTTAATAAGCAATAGGGCTGACTTGGGTTGTGACAGGCTCCTGATATTGAAAGCTAAGTTGTCTGCCATTATTGCCAGTCACTTCTACTGAGGCTTCTGAGGAAAGCGTTGCTCATTCCACATACCTCAGGGGGACCTACATTGGTTCTAACTGAGGGTAGGTACCTGAGGCGTTGTTAGTGATCCTTTGGACTTTTCTCAGCAAGCTGCAGGATTTTTTAAAGAATCTCAAAAACCTGTATCTTTTGGTCTTTCCCTAAAGTCAGCAGCAGTCAGTAATGTGCATCCAGTTGACTTGGTTACTTGGTATTTATTTTTGTGAAATAGAAACTAAAGTTCTGCCATGACTTAGTAAACTATTGTTGGTATTATTTTTTTAGAGTCTACTAACCCATTGTCCCTTTTATACAGTTAAACAATTTCTATAGAAATGACCTTTATTTGTCATATTTTAACGCTGGTACTATGTCATTTCCAGGTCTAGTAAAAATTATACTCTATATGGTGAAGCATTTTCAGCTTTTATTTAATCTATTAATGACATTATTTTTTCTTTATGCATCTATTAGGATTTTTTCTGTGAATTTAGTGAACAGTCACCATGTGTTCTTTCAAGATCTCTGTTACAAGTAAGTTCCACTTAGTATCAAAATACTTCTTTCAACATTATATGCATATTGACATTGTTTTATTGATTGATTGAACAAAAGGTAGATGCTTTTAAAGAATTTTCCAGTTAGTGTTGTATATTTTTTAATTGAAGTATTAACTTTAAGCATTATGCATACATCAAGGTCATATCCTAGGTCATAAAACAAACCTCAATAATAAAGAAATAATCAAAATCATCCAGAGTATCTTTCTAATTGTTTTAGAATTAAACCAGTAACCAACAAGAGAAAGAGATCTAGGAAAATCTCCAGATATTTTGAAGTTAAACAACCTCTAGGTAATGCATGAGTCAAAGACAGAAGTCTTGAGGGGAGTTCAGCAATATTTTGAACTGAATGAAAGTCAAAATATAACATACCAAAATCTGTGAGATACAACTAAAGCAGTGCTTACAGGGAGATTTATAGAATCAAATGTTTTTTTGTTTTGAGATAGTCTCACTCTGTTGCCCAGGCTGGAGTGCAGTGGCACACTCTCCGCTCACTGCAAACTCTGCATCCCAGGTTCAAGTGATTCTTGTGCCCCAGCCTCCCAGGTAGCTGGGATTGCAGGTGCACACCACCATGCCTGGCTAATTTTTGTATTTTTAGTAAAGGCGGGGTTTCACTCTGTTGGCCAGGCTGGTCTCAAATGCCTGATCTCAGGTGATCCACCAATCTCGGCCTCCCAAAGTGCTTGGATTACAGGCAGGAGCCACCATGCCTGGCCACATTAAAAGTTTATATGAAAGAAAAATATGCCTGGCATGGTGGCTCACGCCTGTAATCCCAGCAGCTTGGGAGGCTGGGGTGGGAGGATTGCTTAAGTCCAGGAGATCAAGACCAGCCTAGGCAACACGGTGAAACCCAGTCTCTACAAAAAATGAGCTCAGTGTGGTGGTACATGCCTGTGGTCCCAGCTACTTGAACCTGGGAAGTCCAGGCTGCAGTAAGCTGTGATTGCGCCACTGCACACCAGCTTGGGCTACAGAATGAGATCCCATCTCAAAAAAAAAAAAGAAGAGTCTACAGTTAACAATTTAAGCCACCACCATATGAAACCCGAAAAAGAAGAGCAAATTAAAGCAAGCAGAAGGAAGGAAATAATGAAGAGCAGAAATTAGTAAAAATATATTACAGAAAAACAATGGAGAAAATCAGTGCAACCCAGAGCTCATTCTTTGAAAATATTCATTAAGTCGATGAACCTCTAATGAGGCATAATAAGAAAAAAATACAAATGACTAATATCAAGAATGAAAGAAGGGATATCATTACAGACTGTAAACATTAAAAGGACAGTAATGGGAGTATTATATACAACTCTGTTCATAAATGCAAAAGCAAATAAAATTGACCTATTCCTTTAAATTTAGACATAAACTACCAAAACTCAAGAAGAAACAGATAATTTGAATAATCTCTTATCTGTTAAATAAATAGAACTTGCAGTTAAAAACCTACAACAGTGCAAATTCCAGGCCAGCTCTATGCAGTGTCTTCCAGAAAATAAGAGGCAAGAACACTCATTATATGAGTCAAAATTTACTCTATCAAAACCAAACCAACATTACAAACATAGAAAACTATATAGTTTCCTTATAAATACAGATGTAAAAATCTTATTCCATGAACACAGATGTAAAAATCTTCAATATAGTATTAGTAAATCAAATTCAACGATATATAAAAATAGGTAGTACACTATGACAAAATAAGATTTATCCTAGGAATCAAGCCTGTTTCACCATTTGAAAATTGTTCATCAGCCGAGCGTGGTGGCTCATGCCTGTAATGCCAGCACTTTGGGAGGCTGAGGCGGGCAGATCACAAGGTCAGGAGATTGAGACCATCTTGGCCAACATGGTAAAACCCCGTCTCTACTAAAAATATAAAAATTAGCTGGATGTGGTGGCGCATGTTTGTAGTCCCAGCTGCTCGGGAGGCTGAGGCAGAGGAGAATTGCTTGAACTTGGGAGATGGAGGTTGCAGTGAGCTAAGGTCGCACCACTGCACTCCAGCCTGGTGACAGACAGAGAAAGAAACCGTCTCAAAAAAAAAAAGAAAAATAAAATTGGTCAACATAATTACCATATTATCTAAAGCCTTAGTAGATACACAAAAAAAATTGACAAAATTCAACATCTATTCATGATTTGAAACTCTTAACAAAGCTATATGTAGAACTTCCTAAAACCTGATAAAGGACATACACAAAAATACCCTATAGCTGACATCATACTTAATGATGAAGGGCTAATGGTTTCCTCCAAGAATGGGAAGAAAGCAAAGATGCCCACTTCACTCTTAATTAACACTGGAAATTTTAGCCAGTGCAATAAAGCAAGAAAAAGAAAGAAATGACATACAGATTGGAAAAGAAGAAGACATGTTGTCTATTTAGAGATGACGTGACTTCCCATGAAAAATGCCCATGGAATTTACAAAGAAATTCCTAGAACCAAATAGTGAATTTAATGAGATTGCAGAATATGAAGTCATTATACAAAAAGCAGTTGTAATTCTATATACTTCAACAATGGGAGATCAAAATTTTGAAAACAAAACTATTTACAATAACATCAAAAAATGAAATACTTAGGTACAAATCTAATATGGTTAATATTCAACAATATTCAGTATATTGAATATTCAGATTCAGCATGGTTAATAATAAGGAAATGCAAATTAAACCACAGAAATACTACCTACATTTCAGACTATCTTTTAAAAAAAAGTCTGATAATACCAAGTGCTAACGAAGATGTATTGGTGATAGGAGTGTAATGTGGTTCAGGTACTTTGGAAAATAGTGTGGCACATTCTTATTAAATCAACATGTAGATCACACTCCTAGTCGATTCCTAGAAGTGAAATTTGACATTCTTCTAGAAACCTCTGCAAATGTGTGGAGCTGTTTTGTTCATGATCACCAAAAACCCAGTGAACCTGAATGCTCTTTAGCTGGTGAATGGATAAACATACTGTGGTACATGCACAGTGGAATACTACTCAGAAATGAAAGGAAAATGAAGTATGATACACTTAACAATGCCAGTGAATCTCAACTGCATTATGCTGGGTGGAAGAAGCCAAACTCAAAAGACTATACGATTTCATTTTAATAACATTCCAGAAATGGCAGAATGATAGAGTTGGAGAGCAGCAGATGAGTGATTGCCAGGGGTTTGAGGCGAGAGGAGGGTTTGACCACAAAGGGATCACATGAGGGAATGTTTTTAGGGTGATACAAGTCATTCTGTATCTTGATTGTGAGACTGATTTTAAAAATTATGCATTTGTTAGACTTGTAGAACTGCACAGCAAAAATGTAAATTTCACCATATGTAAATTTTATTAATTTTTTTTTTTTTTGAGATGGAGTCTCACTCTGTTGCCCAGGTTGGAGTGCAGTGGCATGATCTCAGCTCAGTGCAAACTTCGCCTCCCGGGTTCAAGTGATTCTCCTGCCTCAGCCTCCTGAGTAGCTGGGATTACTTCTCTCTACTCCTTTATAGCCAAAGTATCAAGATTATTTGGGATCAAATATCCATGTAAAAGTAACTTAATTGTGTTAACTGGTCTCTGCCACATTGTTTAGATTAAAACTAAGGTTTTTATGAGGTTGAGAACATTTCTGATAACTCTTCTAAGTTTTTCCTATCTCCAGTGTAAGTCCTTAAACTTTACCATATTAGAGGCACTACAACGCCTGACTAATTTTTGTATTTTTAGTAGAGATGGGGTTTCACCTTGTTGGTCAAGCTGGTGTCAAACTCCTGACCTCGTGATTCACCCGCCTCCCAGAGTGCTGGGATTACAGACATGAGCCACTGCGCCCAGCCATATGTAAATTTTAAAATAAAATTTAAAAGCAATATTAGAATATCAAGGTATGGTATATTAAATACAAAGATACAGTGGGATTAAGGGAAGGAAATTAAAACATTATTAAATGCAAATTATTTTAAAAATTTATATTCAGAAAAAAGCATGAAAAAATATTTAAAATATTTGCATGTGTTATAAAACATTCATTAGAGATAAACATAGGATTAATCAAATGACATAGCCATTTAGTATTTCATAGTTTGTGAAGCATTTTTTAATACATTAGCTCATTTGACATAATAAGATTAGTCAGTTTATTTTGACCGTTTTAATATTACTGCTCTTGGCTTGGGAGATTTTTATTTCTGTACATTTTTTGTTCTACATCAGAATACACCTTCAGTAAGGATTAATAAGTAACACTCATTGTGGAGACAGCAATTTATAAAAAATTTTCACCAATTTTCTATATTTTAATCACGTAGTATGTAGTATTTGTAAAAGTATATTCATTTTACAGTAATGACAACTCTGTGTGACACCATTACTAATATGTAACATTTGTTTTAAGACCACTTTCCTGGTGGATAACAAAAAGGTCTTTGGAACTCATCTCATGCAAGACATGGTGAAAGATGCACTTCGGTCTTTTGTCAGTCCTCCGGTGCTTTCTCCCAAGTAAGTATTGTAAGACATTTTATAGTTGTATGTGCTCCCTTAAAAGCCCAACTTCTCTCTACTCCGTCTTTATAGCCTAAGTATCAAAATTGTTTAGGATCAAATCTCCACATAAAAGTAACTCAGTCGTGTTAATTGATCTCTGCCACATTGTTTAGATTTAAACTAAGTTTTTAATGAGGTTGACATTTCTGATAACTCCTCCAAGTTTTTTTGTTTCTGGTGTAAGTCCTTAAACTTCGCCCTATTAGAGGCTGAAAAGGATTGCATGCAGAAAGAATCGTCATTTGAGTTGGCATTCTGAGAAATTTCAGGCTTTTCCAATGGGGAAGGGAAGAAAGGAGTCATTAATTCTTAACAAAGCACTTACACTTTGTTTAAAAAAACAAAAAACAGTTAACAAAGTGTATCTTTTTTCACTGAAAGACACGATGGCTTTCTGTCACAAGTTACTTGATGGTAGATCTCATTTTTTTAAATGGCTTCCAATATTTAGCGATAAATGTTGAGTATCTCTTATCCAAAATGCTTTGGACCAGAGGTGTTTTAGATTTCTGATGTTTCTGAATTTCGAAATATTTGCATGTACATAATGTCACCCAGGCTGGAGTGCAGTGGCATCATCTCAGCTCACTGCAACCTCTGCCTCCCAAGTTCAAGCAGTTCTCCGGTATCGGCCTCCTAAGTAGCTGAGATCATGGACACATGTCACCATGCCCAGCTAATTTTTATATTTTTAGTAAAGATGGGGTTTTACATGTTGGCCAGGCTGGTCACCTGACCTCAAGTGATCTGCCCACCTTGGCCTCCCAAAGTGCTGGGCTTATAGTAGGCATGAGCTACTGCCCCAGCCTAATATGTTTCTTTTATATGATGGAGTAATTTTTGTTAGTTCAAATCTTTTGAAAGCAGAATTCAGCCTGTTCACATTTGGTATATGCTATTGGGCCATGAGTTTGATGTTAATAAATCAACAATATTTTATTACATTAAATTAAGGTGTCCTAAACAGAAATACACATAAAACAAGGTTATACATTGATTAGTTCATGGAAATGTTGTGACCAGAGACTCATAGGAATCTAACCCTTTATTTCCCCTATTAGCAATGATTTAATCGTGTAATTTTGTAACTTCAGAAACTTTATGGAACTACCACAAATAACGATAATTGACTGTATATATGGAAAAGTTTATTATATTGTAGTCTATAATTCCACTGTTTTAAAAATTGCAGTGTTATAGATGAGAATTCATTCTTCCTTTGTAAGTGATTTGAAACTTTGTTCTGGAGCATTGACGAGGTTCTCTTTATTTTAGGAGTTCAGAAGTTTTACCAGAATATTCATGTGTGATTTTCAGCTAGTCCTACCTGGAACTCAGTCATTAAAGACTCAAGTTTTCAGTCGGATTATTTTTCCCTGTTATTACTTATTTACTGCTTCACCTTCATCTGTTTTGTTTTTTCCTTTTTTAGAGCTCCTAGCATACTAACTTGGTCTTCTAGATCTCCCTTACCTATGCCTCATGACATTCATCTCCTTGTTATTTTTGCTGTGTTGTAAGAAAGTTCTTCCTCTTTATATTCAAGGCTACTAATGAACATACTTTATAAATACTGAATTTTTAAATTTGAAAATAATCATTTTTAGATTGAGAGAGCCTTTTTGAAAAGTGCTTTATTTTAATCTCAAGTAATTTTCTTGCTTTAGGGTTAAAGATGTAATGAACCTTCAGCTCTTCCCATTTCACCAACTGCCTGTTACAAGTGTTTACCTTTTTCTTTCTCGTGGGTGCTGGGTACCCTATCTTTTCCATTGTGTGACCCAGGCTCTGTTTATCAGAGATAAGGAAGACCAAAGGAAACCACTTTGTGAGAAGAGATGAAGTGCCAAAGGGATGTATAGGTGATTTATAGCCAATGGCAAGAAGTGGGGGTACAGAAAAAATTAGTATCCTGTATAGTATTTTCTTTACTATTGTAAGCACAGTCCATGAGGAAATCAGTTGTAGGAAAGTATATGACACTGAAGTAGTGTCATGAAAAAGTGAGACTTTGGACTTTTCCTTTTCTCCTTGTTAATTCGATCTTATTGGATCCAACTCTAATTGTTCAAATACAGATCTGTAGGAATTGGAAATATCACAGATTTATTGGGAGAATTACGTAATTATAAAATGTTTCTTAATCTTTTTTTTTTAATTTATTGCATTTTAGGTTTTGGGGTATATGTGAAGAACATGTAAGATTGTTGCATAGGCATACACGTGGCAGTGTGATCTGCTGCCTTCTTCCCCATCACCCATATCTATCACTTCTCCCCATGCTTTCTTTCCCCATGCTTTCTTTCCCCAACTCCCCTCCCCCGGCTGTCCCTCCCTTATTTCCCCCCAACAGACCCCAGTGTGTAGTGCTCCTCTCCCTGTGTCCATGTGTTCTCATTGTTCAACACCCGCCTATGAGTGTTTGATTTTCTGCTCTTGTGTCAGTTTGCTGAGAATGATGGTTTCCAGGTTCATCCATGTCCCTACAAAGGACACAAACTCATCGTTTTTTATGGCTGCATAATATTCCATGGTATATATGTGCCACATTTTCCCTGTCCAGTCTATCATCAATGGGCATTTGGGTTGGTTCCAGGTCTTTGCTATTATAAACAGTGCTGCAATGAACATTCGTGTGCACGTGTCCTTATAGTAGATGATTTATAATCCTTTGGATATATACCCAGTAATGGGATTGCTGGGTCAAATGGAATTTCTATTTCTAGGTCCTTGAGGAATCACCACACTGTCTTCCACAATGGTTGAACTAATTTACACTCCCACCAACAGTGTAAAAGTGTTCCTATTTCTCCACATCCTCTCCAGCATCTGTTGTCTCCAGATTTTTTAATGATTGCCATTCTAACTGGCGTGAGATGGTATCTCAATGTAGTTTTGATTTGCATTTCTCTGATGACCAGTGATGATGAGCATTTTTTCCTATGTTTGTTGGCCTCACGTATGTCTTCTTTTGTAAAGCATCTGTTCATATCCTTTGCCCACTTTTGAATGGGCTTGTTTGTTTTTTCCTTGTAAATCTGTTTTAGTTCTTTGTAAATTCTGGATATCAGCCCTTTGTCAGATGGGTAAACTGCAAAAATTTTTTCCCATTCTGTTGGTTGCCGATTCACTCTAATGACTGTTTCTTTTGCCGTGCAGAAGTTGTGGAGTTTGATTAGGTCCCATTTGTCTATTTTGGCTTTTGTTGTCAATGCTTTTGGTGTTTTGATCATGAAGTCCTTGCCTATGCCTATGTCCTGAATGGTTTTGCCTAGATGTTCTTCTAGGATTTTTATGGTGTTAGGTCTTATGTTTAAGTCTTTAATCCATCTGGAGTTAATTTTAGTGTAAGGTGTCAGGAAGGGGTCCAGTTTCTGCTTTCTGCACATGGCTAGCCAGCTTTCCCAACACCATTTATTAAACAGGGAATCCTTTCCCCATTGCTTGTTTTTGTCAGGTTTGTCGAAGATCAGATTGTTGTAGTTATGCTGTGTTGCCTCCGAGGCCTCTGTTCTGTTCCATTGGTCTATATCTCTGTTTTGGTACCAGTACCATACTGTTTTGATTACTGTAGCCTTGTAATATAGTTTGAAGTCTGGTAGTGTGATGCCTCCTGCTTTGTTCTTTTTGCTTAGAATTGACTTGGCTATGCGGGCTCTCTTTTGGTTCCATATGAAGTTTAAGGTGTTTTTTTTTTACCAGTTCTGCGAAGAAGGTCATTGGTAGCTTGATGGGGATATCGTTGAATCTGTAAATTACTTTGGGCAGTATGGCCATTTTCATGATACTGGTTCTTCCTAACCATGAACATGGAATGTTTCTCTATCTGTTTGTGTCCCCTCTTATTTTCCTGAGCAGTGGCTTGTACTTCTCCTTGAAGAGGTCCTTTACATTCCTTGTTAGTTGTATTCCCAGGTATTTTATTGTCTTTGTGGCAATTGTGAATGGAAGTTTGTTCTTAATTTGGCTCTCTTTAAGTCTGTTATTGGTGTATAGGAATGCTTGTGATTTTTGCACATTGATTTTGTATCCTGAGATTTGCTGAAGTTGCTTATCAGTTTCAGGAGATTTTGGGCTGAGACGATGGGGTCTTCTAGATACACAATCATGTCGTCTGCAAATAGAGACAATTTGACTTCCTCCTTTCCTATTTGAATGCCCTTTATTTCTTTTTCTTGCCTGATTGCTCTGGCTAGAACTTCCAGTACTATATTGAATAGGAGTGGTGAGAGAGGGCATCCTTGTCTAGTGCCTGATTTCAAAGAGAATGCTTCCAGTTTTTGCCCATTCAGTATGATATTGGCTGTTGGCTTGTCGTAAATAGCTTTTATCATTTTGAGATACGTTCCGTCAATACCTAGCTTATTGAGTGTTTTTAGCATAAAGGGCTGTTGAATTTTGTCAAAGGCCTTCTCTACATCAATTGAGATAATCATGTGGTTTTTGTCTTTGGTTCTGTTTATGTGGTGAATTACGTTTATAGACTTGCATATGTTGAACCAGCCTTGCATCCCCGGGATGAAGCCTGCTTGATCAAGGTGGATAAGTTTTTTGATGTGCTATTGCAATCGGCTTGCCAGTATTTTATTGAAGATTTTTGCATCTATGTTCATCATGGATATTGGCCTGAAGTTTTTTTTTCTTGTTGAGTCTCTGCCAGGTTTTGGTATCAGGATGATGTTGGTCTCATAAAATGATTTGGGAAGGATTCCCTCTTTTTGGATTATTTGGAATAGTTTCAGAAGGAATGGTACCAGCTCCTCTTTGTATGTCTGGTACAATTCAGCTGTGAATCCGTCTGGACCTGGGCTTTTTTTGGGTGGTAGGCTCTTAATTGCTGCCTCAACTTCAGACCTTGTTATGGGTCTGTTCAGGGTTTTGGCTTCTTCCTGGTTTAGGCTTGGGAGGAGGCAAGTGTCCAGGAATTTATCCATTTCTTCCAGGTTTACTAGTTTATGTGCATAGAGTTGTTTGTAATAATCTCTGATGATGGTTTGAATTTCTGTGGAATCTGTGGTGATATCCCCTTTATCGTTTTTTATTGCATCAATTTGGTTATTGTCACTTTTCTTTTTTATTAACCTGGCTAGTGGTCTGTTTTGTTGATCTTTTCAAAAAACCAGCTCCTGGATTTATTGATTTTTTGAAGGGTTTTTTGTGTCTCTATCTCCTTCAGTTCTGCTCTGATCTTAGCTATTTCTTGTCTTCTGCTAGACTGAGTTTTTTTGATCTTGCTCCTCTAGCTCTTTCAATTTTGATGATAGGGTGTCAATTTTTTATCTCTCCTTCCTTCTCATGTGGGCACTTATTGCTATATATTTTCCTCTAGAGACTTCTTTAAATGTGTCCCAGAGATTCTGGTATGTTGTGTCTTCATTCTCGTTGGTTTTGAAGAACATCTTTATTTCTGCCTCCATTTCATTGTTTATCCAGTCAACATTCAAGAGCAAGTTGTTCAGTTTCCATGAAGCTGTGTGGTTCTGGGTTAGTTTTTGAATTCTGAGTTCTGACTTGATTGCACTGTGGTCTGAGAGACTGTTTGTTATGATTTCCGTTCTTCTGCATTTGCTGAGGAGTGATTTACTCCCAATTATGCGGTCAGTTTTAGAGTAGGTATGATGTGGTGCTGAGAAGAATGTATATTCTGTGGATTTGGGGTGGAGAGTTCTGTAAATGTCTATTAGGTTTGCTTGGTCCAGGTCTGAGTTCAAGTCCTGGATATCCTTGTTAATTGTCTGTCTGGTTGATCTGTCTAATATTGACAATGGGATGTTAAAGTCTCCCACTATAATTGTGTGGGAGTCTAAGTCTCTTTGTAAGTTATTAAGAACTAGACTTATGTATCTAGGTGCTCCTGTATTGGGTGCTTATATATTTAGGATCGTTAGCTCTTCTTGTTGCATTGATCCTTTTACCATTATGTAATGTCCTTCTTTGTCTCTTTTGATCTTTGTTGCTTTAAAGTCTGTTTTATCAGAGATGAGAATTGCAACTCCTGCTTTTTTTTGCTCTCCATTTGCTTGGTAAATCTTCCTCCATCCCTTTATTTTGAGCCTTTGTGTATCCTTGCACATGAGATGGGTTTCCTGGATACAGCACACCAATGGGTTTTGGCTTTTTATCCAATTTGCCAGTCCGTGTCTTTTGATTGGGGCATTTAGTCCATTTACATTTCGGGTTAATATTGTTATGTGTGAATTTGATACTGCCATTTTGGTGCTAGCTGGCTCTGTCCATTAGTTGATACACATTCTTCATTGTGTTGATTCTCTTTACCAGTTGGCATGTTTTTGGAGTGGCTGGTACTGGTTGTTCCTTTCTATGTGTAGAGCCTCTTTCAGGAGCTCTTGTAAAGCTCTCCTGGTGGTGACGAAATCTCTGAGTACTTGCTTGTTCGCAAAGGATTTTATTTTTCCTTCACTTATGAAGCTTAGTTTGGCTGGATAGGAGATTCTGGGTTGAAAGTTCTTTTCTTTAAGAATATTGAATATGGGCCCCCATTCTCTTCTGGCTTGTAGGGTTTCTGCTGAGAGAGCTGCTGTGAGCCTGATGGGCTTCCCTTTGTGGGTAACCCGACCTTTCTCTCTGGCTGCCCTTAGTATTTTCTCTTTCATTTCAACCCTGGTGAATCTGACGATTATGTGCCTTGGGGTTGCTCTTCGTGAGGAATATCTTTGTGGTGTTCTCTGTATTTCCTGGACTTGAATATTGGTCTGCCTTGCTAGGTTGGGGATGTTTTCCTGGATAATATCCTGAAGAGTATTTTCCAGCTTGGATTCATTCTCTTCGTCACATTCAGGTATACATATCAAACGTGGATTAGGTCTTTTCACATAGTCCCACATTTCTTTGAGACTTTGTTCATTCCTTTTTACCTGTTTTTCTCTAATCATGCCTTCTCGTTTTATTTCATTGAGTTGATCTTCAATCTCTGATATCCTTTCTTCTGCTTGGTCAATTCGGCTGTTGAAACTTGTGAATGCTTCGTGAAGTTCTCATGTTGTGTTTTTCAGCTCCATCAATTCACTCATATTCCTTTCTAAGTTGTCCATTCTCGTTAGCATTTTGTCTAATCTTTTTTCAAGGCTCTTAGTTTCTTTGCATTGGGTTAGAACATGTTCTTTTAGTTCACGGAAGTTTACTACCCCCCTTCTAAAGTCTGATTCTGTCATTTCATCACACTCATTCTCCATCCAACCTTGTTTCCTTGGTGAGGAGTTGTGATCCCTTGTAGGAGGAGAGGTCTTCTGGTGTCGGCTGTTTTCATCCTTTTTGCGCTGGTTTCTTCCCATGTTTATGGATTTATCTACCTGTCGTCTTTGTAGTTGCTGACTTTCAGATTGGGTCTCTGAGTGGACATCTAGTTTGTTGATGATGAAGTTATTTCTGTTTCTTAGTTTTCCTTCTAACAGTCTGGCCCCTCTGCTGTAGGTCTGCTGAGGTTCACTCCAGGCCCTGCTTCCCTGGGGATCGCCTGCAGCTGCTGCAGAACAGTAAGGGTTACTACCAGTTTCTTCTTCTGCTATCTTTGTCCCAGAAGGATACGTGCCAAATGTCAGTCTGATGTCTCCTTTATGAGGTGACTCTTTGGATATACAGGGGCCAGGGAGCTGCTTGAGGAGACAGTCTGTCTTTTATAGGAGTTCAGGTGGTGAGCTGTGAGCTCCGTTGTTTATTCAGAGCTGCTGGGCAGGTACGTTTAAGTCTCCTGCAGCAGAACTCATAAACCTCTTTTTGTTTCTAGGTGCTCTGTCCCAGAGAGTTAGGGCTTTATTTATGAGTTTATGAGTTTCTGTTGTTCTGCTGCCTTTTTTTTTTTTTTTTTCTCCCCAGGGCTGCCCTGCCCAGCAAGGAGGCAGGCTAGTCGCTGTCTGCCTGCAGAGGCTTTGCTGAGCTGCTGTGGGCTCCGCCCAGCTGCCCTGAGAACCTCCCGGCAGTCTTGTTTATATGGGTGTAGTTAGAACTGCCTCAGCAATGGTGGCCCGCCTGTGTATTGGCGGACTCTCTGTAATGCCAGGTTCCCTCGGCAACAACGGGTTGCCTTGGCAACGACAGGCACCCTCATCAATGGCAGGTTGCCTTGGCAACGGCAGGCTGCCTCAGCCATGGCGGAGTACCTCCTTAGTGGTGAAGTGCCTCGGTAATGGCAGACGCCCCTCCCCCACAGAGCTGGCCCGTTCTGGATTCAGCTGCTCTTGCTGTGAAACTCTCAATCCAGAGAGTTTCTGATTGTTGTTCTTTTGTTGGGGTGGGACCAGCCAAGCCTGATCACCTGGCTCCCTGCCTCAGAGCCTTTTTCTTTTTTTCTTTTTTATCCCAGATGTTCCAGTCGTCTGTTGAAAGGGTGCCGGGATCTGTTACCTGTGCGGCAACCTACTGTGCCGGCTTAAACAGCGGGCGCTGAGATTCGTGGCGCTTTTTTTGCTCAGGAATCTCCTGGCCTGACTCCCTGTATAGTCCCCTCTTTAATCAGATGAATGTGCAACTTCCTGGGGCTCCAATCGCAAGCCAAAAGGGCACCCGGACCAGTGTATTTTGTACGGAGAACCGCCGGCCAGGGTGCTGACAAAGCAGCCACACAGGGCAAAGCAGCCCCGCCAACCAAAAGAACTACGCCGGCCAAAACAGCCGCACTGGCGACCCGTGGGCTTCCTCTGCCTGGGAATCTCCTGGTCCGTGGGCAGTAAAAATGCGGCCTCCACTCACCCTCTGTGCATTCACTGGGAGCTGCAACTCCGAGCTGTTCCTAAACGGCCATCTTGGATCTCTCCTTCTTAATCTAATACTGACATTCTTCAACTTAGGAATCAGTTTCATTTCTTCTTTATTCACCTTCTCTGTTATTTGGTAGCATCTGCAGTTATTGCTGCTGCTTTTGTTTGGGCTGAATAGATTGATTTTAATGATACGAATATTATCTTTCAGGTGCTACCTGTATAATAATCACCAGGCCAAGGACTGTATTGACTCCTTTGTTACTCACTGTGTTCGGGTAAGGTCTACAATTTGGATTGTTGTAATGGGTACTTTTAAAATGGTAGACTGTGGCCAGGTGTGGTGGCTCATGCTTTTAAGCCCAGCACTTTGGGAGGCTGAGGCAGGTGGATCACCAGAGGTTAGGAGTTTGAGACCAGTCTGGCCAACATAGGGAAACCCCATCTCTACTAAAATTACAAAAATTAGCCAGGCATGGTGTTACACACCTGTAGTCCCAGCTACTCAGGAGGCTGAGGCGGGAGAATCACTTGAACCCAGGAGGTGGAGGTTTCAATGAGCCAAGATCGCGCCACTGCGCTATAGCCTGGGCGACAGAATAAGACTTTGTATCCAGAAAAAAAAAAAAAAAAAAAAAGGCTTGGCTGTAATTCCATTAGTATCTTTATGCTTTTTTTTCTTGTAATATTTCTTTTTTTCAGTGAATAAATAAAAACTGTCTCCTCCTAACACTTGGGTAGATGGTTTTATAACCTAAGGTCTTCTGATAGGTTATTAGCTACAGAGGCAGCCTTGGATGACCTCCCACTGCAGCCTGCAGGGACTACAGATAGGGAATGTTATGACTCTCAACTGGGAAAACAGCAGTTGCTTCCTCAAAATTTTTTGTGAATGGACATAAAAACTTTATTTTTTTTTAACCTTACGAACAAAGAGTATTTTTTAACATCCTTATATACTTTGTATTATTTTTAATGAACTGAATTATAATAAAATTATTGGCCGGGTGCCGTGGCTCACGCCTATAATTCCAGCACTTTAGGAGGCTGAGGCGGGTGGATCACCTGAGGTCGGGAGTTTGAGACCAGCCTGGCCAACAGGGTGAAACCCTGTCTCCACAAAAAAACACACAAAAAATTAGCCAGGTGTGGTGGTGTGAGCCTGTAGTCCCAGCTACTCCGGATGCTGAGGTGGGAGGATTGCTTGAGCCCAGGGGGTAGAGATTCCAGTAAGCCAAGGTAACGTCACTGCACCCCAGCCTGGGCAACAAGAGTGAAACTCTGTCTAAAAAAAAAAAAGTACAATATATATAAATTTAAATGAGATCACAAACTTTTTTCTGTATCAAGTAATAGGAAAAAATGCAAACCTTGTAGTGAATTGAATTGTTTTTGTTTAATTATTTTTGTTGTTTATTTAGAGACAGGGTCTCCCTCTTACCCAGGCTGGAGTGCAGTAGCGTGATCCTGGCTCACTGCAACTTCTACCCCCTGGGCTCAGGCCATCCTCTCACTCAGCATCCAGAGTAGCTGGGACTACAGGCTCATTTCACCACACTTGGCTATTTTTTTTTTTTTCTGGAGACAGGGTTTCACCCTGCTGGCCAGGCCTGTCTTGAACTCCTAAGCTCAAGTGATCTGCCTGCTTTGGCTTCCCAAAGCACTGGGATTACAGGCGTGAGCCACCACACCCAGCCTCATTTTTATTTAATTAGATGGAATATTTATTTTAGAGAACTCCAACAGGCAGTTCTTTTGGGCCTAATTCCAGTTACTAAATATATATATATATAGAAAGGCAGCATGGTATGGGGAAAAGAGAAAGAAACAATAGATCAGACTTTATTTCATTGTTGTTATTAATATTTTATCAGGCATATCACTTTTTTTCCACTCTTGAGAGAGTAAAATTCTTACATCTTCTCTGACCTCTTACAGGGTAGTTATTGACCAAATGAGATAGTATCTGTCTTAAGTATGTAAATATAAAACAATATTATACTTTGAGAATCTTCTGATTCACACTTAAAGCATCTTACTAATCCACGTCAGTTGCCTGGTTAGTGGAATGTTACATAGTATTTTAGATGAGAATACTGTCTGGAGAAAGCAGGAATAAAGAACCTTAGTGAGGGTTTATGGCTATTAGCTCTTCTTAAGCTATATAATTATTAGGCATTCTGGTATATTTATAGCAGCATAGGAATGTCAGCCTTGAACATTGGCTTTTGACTCAAAATAAGCAGGAAAGAAATTGTCCTCGTGAAATTGCAAGAAGATATCTAGAGGTTGGAGGAAGGTGTTTTTCCCATATGAAAACAAGTTTCACATGAAGCTATTTTTATCCAGTTATTGATAAATTCTGGTGTTAAACACCTGTGTAAAATTAAAAATATACATAGACATAATTCTTATATACGCAGCATTTTTTTTCCCTTAAACCAGATTGTGAACTTGGAATTTTATGTTTCTTTAGTACCGGGAAATTTCATATTTATGGTTGACAAATTATATGTATATTGCAGCCATTCTGTAGTCTTATTCAGATCCATGGACATAACAGGGCTCGACAGAGAGATAAGCTTGGTCATATTCTTGAGGAATTTGCTACCTTGCAGGATGAGGTAAGAGCCAAGTTCCCCTCTCTTCGGAAATTGAATAATTCACACACTTTGTACAGATTTCTAAAAACAATTCTTCAGAACAGTATTTTGATTTTTTAATTTTTCAACATGATGCACTTTTCACTTAAAATATAACAGTTTCTTACACGAAAATTTCCAGAATGAAACAGAACAATAATCCAAACTGATAGACATCTTAAATATTTCTTTGGTAATCAGAATAAATTATGAAATATGTATAAAATAGTTTCATAACAAGCTTACATCAAGAAAAATATTAATATATTAATTTTAAAGTTAATATATGTGCAGCAGCAATATTGATAAGTTAGGACCTGAAGTGTATTATTTATATTTTTGTCCTGTGAATTTGTTGTAGTTTTAGTTTAAGGCATGTTGAGGTAAATGTTAACCATTGTGAAATGAGAACTTTGAATGTAAACCTAACTAAAAATGCATTTGAAAAATGTTTCTTTGGGTGGTCAGATTTAAATTTTCTGCTCGTATGATTTTTAGCTGTATGTTTTTTAAAGTTCTCTAATTACCTTAAGAAAACAAAGTGAACACAGTTTATGACATTGTATTTTAATAGGCAGAGAAGGTTGATGCAGCGCTTCACACCATGCTGTTGAAACAGGAACCCCAAAGGCAACATTTGGCCTGTTTAGGTACCTGGGTCCTTTACCATAACCTTCGCATTATGATACAGTATCTTCTAAGCGGCTTTGAATTGGAACTCTACAGTATGCACGAGTACTATTACATATATTGGTAAGAGCACAATTTGAGTTAAAACTGGTGGTGGGTGGAATGGATAAGTTCTGAGAGAATTTAGAGTTAACTTTAGGGTACTTTTTTATTTAGTATATTTTAACTTTAGTTGTGAGACAGTTGGAAAAATTTGAAAATTAGAGCTGTATTATCTTGAATATCTTTAAGTGCTATAACATATGAGCATATTTTTCCAAATATTTATGTAAAAATTACAAAAAATGGCTCCAAAGTAAGTGGATTAATTAAAGAACATTTATTTGCTCCTATGGAGAAAAATTAACACATTTTGCAGCACTAGCTGTGGATGTACTTGACAGAGTTAAACATCAAATTGGAATCATGTCTGTCTCTGAGAAGAAATCAGGACCAACATGATGACTCAGAGCATAACTATTTCAAACTGTGGTGCTGAGGAGTCACTTCAGGAGCTTTGGAGTTGATAAAAGATAATCTTCAGCAGAATAGTTCTTCCCTTTCACTTGAGGACAAAATAAACCTAGTAAGAGGATGTTTGAGCATATTTTAGGCATGTAAAAGCTGTCATAGAAAGAAAATAAGCTGTCGTAGAAAGAAAATAAGATTGAGCATTAATGAATTCAGTTATTTTGAATCTTTTTCTCAGTCTGGCACATTGTTTTAAACTGATGACCGATGTTACTCATCACAAACACTCAGGTTTAGTATATTAGGCTTTAATAGAGTTCACCTTTTAAACTTATTTAAATTTATTGAACTTAGTCATTAAGATACTCTATATTCTCTGAAGTCACTGCTGTAGGAGGGGAAGTAATTCTCTTCCATGCTATTGACATAGATTTTGTTACGAGAAGTGAGGGCTCTTAACAGATAATGCTTGGCTGTGAAAAATGAATTTGAGCATCAACTTAGTAATATGAGAATAATTTTCCTTGCTATATATTCTTCAACATTTATATAGATAATAAATAATCCTTAATAACAGGTATTTATATAGCTACTTTGGATACTACATATTGTTATTAATCCATAGTAGACAATTCTGGTTTTGTTTTCATTTCTGTATTTTGAGATGGGGTCTTGCCATATGGCCCAGGTTGGTTTTGAGCGCCTAGGTTGTCAGTCTTCCCACCTCAGCCTGTCAAGTAGATGGAACTACAGATGTGCACCACTGCACCTGTCTACTTTTGCTCCTTTTTATAGGGGAAAATGCTCAGGTTTTTTCTTTTGTGCTTTGAAGCAGCTAATGGAACCTTTTGTTCTTGATTTCTCAGATCAAAATATAATTTTTATATGCTTTTGTACATAGAGAATTGGGATCCTTAATTCAGCAAATGAATGATACTCAGATAAATACTCCATTACACATTTGTCTACATACATAAGCAGATTCATTTCTTTTCTTGTTAAAGGAACTTACCCATAAATAACCCTTGTGGTCTTTTCATACTGGTTTTGAACTGCTATTAATTTCAAAATTACAGACTGGGTTCCTGCATTTCCCCAGGATATCTTTTTTTTTTTTTTTTTTTGGGACGGAGTTTCGCTCTTGTTACCCAGGCTGGAGTGCAATGGCGCGATCTTGGCTCACCGCAACCTCCGCCTCCTGGGTTCAGGCAATTCTCCTGCCTCAGCCTCCTGAGTCGCTGGGATTACAGGCACGCGCCACCATGCCCAGCTAATTTTTTGTACTTTTTTTAGTAGAGACGGGGTTTCACCGTGTTGACCAGGATGGTCTTGATCTCTTGACCTCGTGATCCACCCGCCTTGGCCTCCCAAAGTGCTGGGATTACAGGCTTGAGCCACCGCGCCCGGCCCCCAGGATATCTTTAGTTGTTTTTCATGCATATGATCCCTGAAGCATGTGGACTTTTTAAAAATCATCAGCAAAATCAGTGATTCTTAAACTTTAACATGTATCCTGTTCTTTTGGAAAATGCATTAATACACAAATTTCTGGACTAAGTTCCTAGAATTTCTGACCTGTTAGGTCTAGGGTGAGACCAAATAATTTGCATTTCTAACTGGTTCTCAGGTGAACTGCTGGCCCAGAGATGACAATTTGAGAACCTTGGTACAGAATATCGGCACTCTCTCCTTAGACATAAATGTATATTAATTTTTATAAAGCACTTAAAAGATCATTGAGGTACCTGATATTTAAAAAGAAAAGCCTGCATCTTAGTTCTCCCCTTCACTCTTGTTTCCTTAGATTAGCTAAACAGAAGGTAGACGGCACCATCAGTTCCCTGTAGAAATCCTTCACTTGAATTATGCTATATGGGTTGTTATGGACTCTCAAATTTTGTAGGGTGGCAGGGAAACAAAATTCAGTTACATGCTATAAAAGGGTACTATAGTAAATGTTAAATTCAGGGCCAGGAATTGTTTGCTCTCCATGTGAAATTATAGGCATTCTTATTTATTATTGTTATAAAGAGTGTGTGTGTATATATATATATATCTCCTAGATTTGAATACTTTTCTGCCTTAGCAGTGTTAAAGTTCTGAAAAATTAGTGTCTGGTAGAATGTTCTGTTTTATATTTGATTTATTAAATAAACTCAAGTAAATTGTAAATGTGAGTGTTCTTAATTTTTAAGAACGAGTGTATATAATGCCAGTAATTGTTTATCTTTGATTTTATTTGCTTGGTTTGTGATTAGAAGAAAAAATTTATAGACTGAACTGAATGTGTTCTGATGTAATAAAAACTTAGGCATTTGTTTGATTTGCTTATGTATATATATAATTATCAAGAAATCTTCTGGAAAGTCGTAAAGTATACAAAGGGAAAATTAATCCTTATGTTTATTTCTTGTAAGATCTAATCTGTTATCAAATCGAATGATCTGTTTTTAAAGACCTAAAGCATTATTTGAAATATCTATTATTGTTAATATACGTGTTGACGAAGCTGTCTCATTTAGACACCTATGATTAACTAACATTTTGTATCCTGTAAGGTATCTCTCTGAATTCCTTTATGCATGGTTGATGTCAACACTGAGTCGTGCCGATGGCTCTCAAATGGCAGAGGAGAGGATAATGGAAGAGCAGCAGAAAGGCCGTAGTAGTAAAAAAACAAAGAAAAAAAAGAAAGGTGCTGTGGATTATTTTTAAACTTAAGAACAGAGTATACTTTAATTTTTATAAGTAATTAGATGGAGAACTACTTCATGAATTAGTCATTATATTTTAGTTTTTGTTCCTTTTTTCTTCAGAAACTGTAAGGTAGAGACTGAGTCCTAGTATTAATGATACGAGCTTTTTGGTTCCTTTCCTTGCTTTCATTTCTTTGCTATTCTTTGTATCAGAGGATCATTGATCAAGAAGTAGCCATGTGGAGTATGCAAGTAAGATACAGGGAACAAGACAGCAGGAGCGCATTGACCTTTTGACAGAGCCTGATAGCGCAGAAGGGAAGGAGTTCTGGAGCTGTGCTGTGGGAGTGGGCACCAAAAGGTGGTCACAGAACACCCTGAGGCATCATCCAAGAACCATGAGAAAAGAGAACTGTTTGAAAGGGACTGCCCTATTGATCACTTAGGGAAGGCTACGGATATTGCCTACAATTATTATAAAATATGACTTTATATTTTTTCCTTAGGACTTAAAGCAGTTTGGGTGGGTCATTAAATCACTGTAGTCACCGGTTTCCATATAAGAGCTTAAGTCTCTGTGGGGGTGAATTCAGAAAAGTTATAATTACTTCATACTGGAATTTTACAGTGTTAGCTATTTGGGGCATGATTATTGTATTTTATTATTTGTAGGTTGTGACCATAAGTAAAATTTAGCCTGTATGAACAAACTGAAGTTTTAATTTAGTATACAAGCTGGAAGATTTTTTAAAATTAGATTCTCTTTGCAATAATGCAAGAGGGATGAGGAAAAGATTATGGAAGTTTTCTTTCTAAATTACAGTTCGCCCATTGAGCCGAGAGATCACAATGAGCCAAGCATATCAGAACATGTGTGCTGGAATGTTTAAAGTAAGTTGTTGAAAGTGAAGTTCTTTTTGCCTTTTAGCTGTATTCCTATCATATGGTTTATTTAAAATGAACTCTCTTCTGTGATTCTTTACAGATTCTAATTTCACCTTTGTTTTACTTCCTGTCTGCTTGAAGATTACCTTTATTATCATTAATTTGTTCAACAACCATTTGAGCCCTTGCTGTGTGTGAGATACTTTGTACTGGGTACATTGCAGGAGATACTAATTCTATATGGACCTTGCTTCAAGTCTTTAGTGACAGGCCTGTTGATGTATCTGTGACAGATAGTATGAAAAGGAAGAGAGTACTTCTAATTGATCAGGCAAGGCTTCCTGGAAAAGATGGAGTTTAGGTTTTTTAGGGGAGTGTATTGGGAAGAGGGTGAGCTCCACAACAAATGGCTTAAGCAAAAGCAGGCCTTTTCAAGAGGTAATGGGTACTAACTTTTATGTTGTACTTGGCAGTCCAAGAAATTATTTGAGGCAACTTAACATTAAAAGGCATAAAGCAAAACATGGACTTTGTTTGAAAATAGGACCTGTGACTATGAAAATTATATGTCCTCATTTCTTCAGAAGCATTTACTTGAAGGTTTTAAATAGCTGTTTCTTTGTTTTCTATTCTGTATTGATGAGAGTGCTCACTTTTTCATATTGATGTCATGTTTTTTCTTGTCCTTTTTCCTTTAGACCATGGTAGCATTTGACATGGATGGCAAAGTACGTAAACCGAAGTTTGAGCTTGATAGTGAACAAGTTCGGTATGAACACAGGTTTGCTCCATTCAACAGTGTGATGACCCCACCACCAGTGCACTACTTACAGTTCAAGGTGAACCTGCTCAGTGAAATTGTCATGAAATTTTTAGTTCAACTTTTTTAGAGAGATGCTGTTGTGTACCTAGCCATCTTGTTACATTAGTAATTATTTAAATTATAAGAATAATATGAGGTAGTATATGAGGGTTGAGAATTATATATTACCTAGTTAAAACTAGGGAGATGTGCTGAATGTTTGCCCCAGTGTCTGTATATGGTGAATAGAAAATGTAGAATTCTTTAATAATTAGAAATGGGATTTTAGAGTTGTTCATATTAAATGTGTTTTGAATTATATTTCTCCTTTTTAGGAAATGTCTGACCTCAATAAATACAGCCCTCCTCCTCAGTCTCCTGAACTGTATGTGGCAGCTAGTAAACACTTTCAGCAGGCAAAAATGATACTGGAAAATATTCCTAACCCGGACCATGAGGTGAGACTGGATTCACTGTGATTCTAGGGGAAAATTTAGCAGGAAATACATCTCTGACAGCTGGATGAAAGTTAATTATAAAAGTGAACTTTATAGTATTAGTGAATGGAGCTTGTCATGTTTCTGCAAAGGATTTCAGATAGTTTTGTCATACTAACCTTGTCAGACTTTAAGAATGAGGTGATGTAAATACCTGCTTTGTGTAAATTCAGAAGTCAATGCAAAGACAAATTAAGACTCACAACCATAAAGTAAGAAGGGTAAACCTAAGATCCAGACTGATCTGATTCATAGCTCAAAATGTTAGCATTGAAACATTTCTGTTTTAATCAGTAGTTTGTCAAAGGGGCTGAGCGCAGTGACTCACGCCTATAATCTCAGCACTTTGGGAGGCCAAGGCAGGTGGATCATCTGAGGTCAGGAGTTTGACACCAGCCTGGCCAACATGGTTAAACCCTGTCTGTACTAAAAATACAAATTAGCCAGGCATGCTGGTGCATGCCTTTAATCCCAGCTACTGGGGAGGTTGAGGCAGGAGAATTGCTGAAATGCGGGAGGTGGCTGTGAGTTGAGATTGCACCGTTGCCCTCCAGCCTAGGTGACTAGAGTGAAAATCTCAAAAATTATTAAAATGTAACTGTGTCTTACATAAATATTAAAAATGATCTGGCCAGTTGTCACAGGACAACCTTATAAAAGAAAGGTTATTGCTTTTGAAGACTGAGATATCAAAATAAACTTGGGGAAAAATTTTTTCAGGCTTTTGGTATTTTAATAATTTACCATATCCCTAACTTTATTGAAATACATTTATTTTCTAAAAGCTACCTGTAACATGTACATACTGTTTTGGGAAGTATATCTTGGGACAACTTCCATAGACAGGTAGCTTAGCAGTATTTGTCAAAAAATCATAAATGCTTAGATCCAGTAATTCTGCTTTTTGGGATTTATCTTATATAGATACATGAACACATATAGGAAGTGAAAGTGATGAATATAAGAATATTTTTTGTAGCAGGATTTCTAATAGCAAAAAATTGGAAGAAAGAAACAGTATCTAACAACAGGGACTAATAAATTATGATATAGTCATATGATGCAATACTATGCAGCCTTAAAAAGGACAAGGAAGACCTTTGTGATGGAATGCTCTTTATGATTTAAGAAGTCTAAAAAGAAAGGTGCAGTTTCAATCAAAGTGGGCAAGGAAGCCTATATGTATGTATATGAATATAAAATATCTTTAGAATGATACATCAGAATTGGTAGATTTGTTTCCTTCCTTGGAGAGAAGCACAGAGTGCCTTGGAAGAGGGGATAGGGAAGACACTTTTTTAAAAATCATGTATACCATCTAAGAAAATATAAAGGGGGGTGTAAAAATTTGAGGAGATACCTATGATACATGGCATATTTCATTTAGTGAAACTTCATTCATTTATTCAAAGATGAGTCGGTGCTCCAAATACTATACTGTGCTGCTGTTTCAGGACTTTGCAGGCTAATTTTTTGTGGTTGTTATTCAGGAATGCAAGATAGGGTAGCCCTTTCAATTCAGAGTTAATTGAAATGGAGTTCTGTATTAAAAGAAATATAATAGCCGGGCGCAGTGGCTCAAGCCTGTAATCCCAGCACTTTGGGAGGCCAAGGCGGGTGGATCACGAGGTCAAGAGATCGAGACCATCCTGGTCAACACGGTGAAACCCCGTCTCTACTAAAACTACAAAAAATTAGCTGGGCATGGTGGTGCGTGCCTGTAATCCCAGCGACTCAGGAGGCTGAGGCAGGAGAATTGCCTGAACCCAGGAGGCGGACGTTGCGGTGAGCCGAGATCGCGCCATTGCACTCCAGCCTGGGTAACAAGAGCGAAACTCCGTCTCAAAAAAAAAAAAAGAAATATAATAATTTTAAATTGTCTTTATTTAATAAAACATCAACACTTCCATTATATAAAATTCCTATTGTTGTCTATAATTAAGAAATGTTGGCTGCCCACAGTGGCTCCTGCCTATAATACCAGCACTTTGGGAGGCCAAGGTGGGAGGGAGGACTGCTCGAACTCAGGAGTTCAGGACCAGCCTGGGCAACATAGGGAGATCCTATCTCTACAAAAATTTAAAAATGAGCTGGGTGTGGTGGTGCACACCTCTAGTCCCAGCCACTCGGGAGGCCAAAGTGGGAGGACTGCTTGAGCCAGGAGGTTGAGGCTTCAGTGAGCCGTATACATACCACTATACTCCAGCCTAGGTGACAGCAGGACTCTGTCTCAACAAAAAAGGAAAGAAATTTTGACTATGTAGTTTATGTTTCAGTAGTTTTATGTTCGTGTTTCAGGTCAATAGAATTTTAAAGGTTGCCAAACCCAACTTTGTGGTTATGAAGTTATTGGCAGGAGGACACAAAAAGGAATCTAAAGTGAGTACATTGTGGGAAAAAGAAATGGTCTTAAATTATTGTGAAGTTTCATAATTTTTTCCAATAAGATGTGTAAATATTACAGAAAAAATTGAACCACTGAACAAAAATCATTCTAAAAATTTTAGTTCAGCAGCAAAACATTTACTAGAGCTTGCCATTTTGCCTTGAGATGTATAAAATGTTTATTTTGTTGAGTTAAAATTTCTAAAGTCTGCCCATGTGTTTTTCCATCTCCTTGCTGTATAAATTACCAAATAACTTGGGGTAAAAAAAAAAATGTAAAGAAAATTTTACGGGAGAAGTATGAGGTATTTAAAAGGCATCTACCTTTGGGAAAGTGAATGCTTTAATAATGAAAGATTTCTTTGTAATGGCTCAGAAGAAGAGTCTATAAGCTTTTCTTGGTAATATTATATCATCCATGCCACATCAGCATTTCAGAGTAGAGGTTCTGTGCTGTGGAGAGGCCAGCCGCTGAGGCACCATGGCGGCATTTGCCTGTGTGTATTGCGCACCTTGTATTCCACTGTTTCCCAAGATCTGCCTTCCTCCTCTCCTGCCCTGGTTTCCTACTGACTCTTATTTCATTGCTTAGTTCTGTCAGTTACCCTGGAACTAAAAAGTGTGCTGACCCCTGATCTAACTGAATGTCTTTCCTGTAATTTGACTATTTATCTTTGTTAACTGTTCTCTGAAGATAGAAAACAGCTGGTCAGCCTGCTTTCTTATGACCTTCATAAAACCCAAAAACATCAGTTTTTCTTCCAGATTAGTTCCTACCTTTTTTTGTCATTACCTAGTGTTTTTTTTTTTTTTTAATCTGTTTTGTGCTGCTTTGTTTCTAAAAACACAAGAAACTCAAAAATAATCTGTTTTGTGTACCATATGAATATTTGTAGATACATTCGTTGACTTTCTGGCTTTCTTTAACAGGTTCCTCCTGAATTTGATTTCTCTGCTCATAAATATTTTCCTGTTGTGAAACTTGTTTGAGAGAGACTGGGAAAGTGACCATAAAAGGGCAGAGTCTACTTTCAGACCCCACTCTTAGAGGGCACATGTACCAGGCTCCACATCATGGGGAGTGAGATGGATTTCTTAGATAACTCATTATAAGGAATACTTTTAGTTTGACAGCCTTATATGACGTGAATGAAAACTGCTGTTTTAAAGTGGTTTATTATGTTCCATGGAAGAAACTGGTCTTATTGAATGCATTGATGAACGTTATATGGTTTTATTACAGATTTAATCACAAATCATTTTTTATGAATGATTGAGTGAAAATAGTGTTTGTAAAGGTTAATAAATTTCTTGACAAAAAAAAAATGCACTGCTGGAGATGAAAAACATTAGCTCTTTGTCCATATTAAGAACTAAAGAAGGTGTATGCTCTTTCCAAAAACGTTATCCAAAAGGAAGTTTCAAATCAAGGGATTAATTAAACACTTGTATGAGATTTTGGTAAAATACCTTTAGAAGGGGTTTTTGGGAGGGCCTCTAAGATATAAACAAACTAAATTACATGAGAATTGTGATTTTATGTGTCATGACATCACAAATTATATATCTGTAAGAATATGGATGTGTAAAAAATCCTTTACCTGTTACTTTTGGCACTTTTAAAAGACTATACATTATGTTTGCTGGTGACATTATTCAAAAAGGAGGCAGATAGAAATGTATATAGATTAAAATTTAGGTCTAGGTTTAAATGTGGTGTACTCCTTTTTGTTTTACTTCATGTTCAGTTTAACCCATGAAACATTTTCATTGGTGGGGGGGGTCTGTTCAGTATCCTCTGGCTTTGAAAAACTGACTACATTCCCCTGTGCTTTCAAGTGCCTGGTGCCCGAGGCTCTCCCCTTCCTTTCCTGTTCATCATGTCTCACTTTCATGTTTGTGATGGCAGCTGTCCAGGCCTCTTGGGCCTTCCTTTTTGTCCTCTGTAGCAGGCAGTACTCTTTCAAAATGAGTTACTCTGTGGCTTAAATTGGCTTTGGTGGCTTGACCTAAGGCTAGTGACGGTTTTATATTTGGTCTATGGTTAAAAGGGTTTTCAGCTTCAAATATCTTACTCTGATTTGATACCTTTCGTAAAAACACAATAGTGAAACTTTTCTGGAAATACTTTAAAGCAGCTAACCTTACTGAACTTGCTAAGAATCTTCTTGTCGCCCCTCTTAGCAGCTAATGAGGTAGCCTGGCTCTCTTTTCCAAGAGTGATAATACTTGTGTTATTCAGGAACAGCCATTAGGCATCCTGAAATTGTAGAACCCAGAAGTCTTTTTAAAAAATGTTTTTGTTTTTTTAAGTAGCCTGTACAATAGAAACTTGAATTATGGAGAGAGAAAGAGTATATCTGTTGCTGATTTAGTTACTTGGTTGAGAGTGAAAACACTGTTTCTGGCTGGTAATTACTGAATGCTTTAAATAAAAAAAAGGCAAAGAAATGGTAGGTAATAGGCAAGACAAGAAACAAAAGAATCAAAAGAAAATGCAGAGAGGAAAACATTTGGAAACAACTAAGAAGAGAGCCTGAAGCAAGTTAGAAAGCCTGAGAAATTATTCTTCCTTCCCAGTGACCAAGATGAAGATACAACACATAAAAAATATGTCCCCCTTAAAAGGGGAAAAAAAAAAAAAAAAAGGAATATAGATTAAGGCAGCATGGGCCCTGCTAGATGATGGGATCACTTTCAATTAAGAGGGGGCATTTTTTAACCACTATGTCTAATTGGGTCTGCTGGGATAGAGGAGCAGCTAGGTTATTTTGAAATAAGTCTTCCTAAGTAAAAGTTTTCCTTCTAATCTATCAACTAAAAGATTTATTAGTATGAGATTTATTAGTGTATGTTACTGACAGAATCATGTGTTTTCCTTTAAGTAGCTTTAATTTTTCGTTTTTAGTTTATTTAAGAGATGAGATTTCACTATCTTGCCCAAACTAGACCCAAACTTATGGGCTGAAGTGATCCTCCCGCCTCAGCCCCCAGAGTAGCTGGGATTGTAGGCACATGCCTGCCTGGCTAGTTTTTGTTTTTAAACAGCAGATTTCTAATTAGAAATAGTTGGCATTTTATAATTTTTAAAGTAATCTACCATTCACGGTACTTACTGAAAAACAATAGAAATAAGTCTCTTCTCACAGAGCTTTTATAATCTTATGACAAATACAGAAAAGCAAACAGGTATTGAAAACGGCAGTGAAGAATATGCAGTATGCTGGGTAGGAGAACCGCTCACATGAAACTTCATGGGACAGATCCACTTCATGGGACAAATCCCCATCTCATCTATTCAAGAGGCATTGCTGGTAAAGGGTCCTAGACAGAATGTGCATAGGCTTCCAGGGGAGAGGGTGGCAGCCTGGCTGAAGTATAAAGCAGGAAAAGGATGGAAGAGATGAACTTGAGAGACAAGGAGAAGCTGATGCCCAAAAACCTGGGAGGCCAAATTTGGACTTTATTCTGATATTGGTAGATAGCACTAAAGGCTTTTGTTGCAGGGAAATGATGGGCATCAAATCAGATCTATCTGCTTGTTTGAGAATGGTTCAAAAGGGAGGCAGAGAATCCAGTCATGTGAGAGAAAGTGTTGGTCTTAACAAAAGATAGTGGCAGAGCAGGTGGAAGAAAGTGGATGGAATCAAAAGTTTTCAGAGCTGGCCGGGCGCGGTGGCTCAAGCCTGTAATCCCAGCACTTTGGGAGGCCAAGGCGGGTGGATCACGAGGTCAAGAGATCAAGACCATCCTGGTCAACACGGTGAAACCCCGTCTCTACTAAAACTACAAAAAATTAGCTGGGCATGGTGGCGCGTGCCTGTAATCCCAGCTACTCAGGAGGCTGAGGCAGGAGAATTGCCTGAACCCAGGAGGCAGAGGTTGCGGTGAGCCGAGATTGCGCCATTGCACTCCAGCCTGGGTCAACAAGAGCGAAACTCTGTCCCCAAAAAAAAAAAAAAAAAAGTTTTCAGAGGTACAGCTAATGGGACATGATAAATGAGAGAATTTCTGCCGGATCAAGGATGAGTTTTCAGAAAATTTTTTGACTTTGGCAACTAGATGGTGGGGGTGCCACTTGCCCATCTAGGCAAGGTAGGAGACCAGGTTTGGGACAGATTACTTTAGACATTGAGATATCTTTGGGACATCCTTGTGAAGGTGGCAGGTAGTTTGATCTCAAACTAGGAGGTGCCATCCGGGGTGGAGATGAACTGAGGACTGAGTACAGTCACTGTAACTTTGGGGGGTTGCCATTGCTCAGGAAGCTCTTAGAGTAAGGGCCTGTGATGTATCCCTAGGAACAGACTAGGGAGGGCCAGGGAATGGGGAGGCACAGGGTACAGGGGAGAGTACCTCAAAATCATACCAGGCCACCGTTTGATAAGTGTTTCCGCCTGTTTCACTGTTTTGTTTGCACAAGACACTAAGAATACATTGCCTTAAGTAGTCAAAGCGCACCCTGTTTGGAAAAGTTTAGGAGAGGTGGCTGTTTCCCTTATTCCTCTGTGGCTATGCTCTGGGCACTGGAAAAAGCCTGCAAAGGAGACTTACCAGGGAAATAAGCAGAATGCAGGAACTCATGAAACTAACAGGCCATTAAGAGGAGGACTGAAAAGAGCCCACTGAATTTGGCAAGTAAAGATTGCTGGTGACTGGCGAGAGCTCTTTCTAGAAGGGGTGGGGCAGAAATTGGAAAGTCAGTTGAAGTATAGACCATGGGGTGAGGAAAAAGACAAGATACTCAAATGGGCTTGAAGACTTGACTTTCCCTTAGTCATACTTGCCCCGCTCTATTCTTAGAGAGGCTGGTATGATCTTAAAAGATCATAACGCGCAAGCATGGTCACTTGACAGCTCTACTTTCCACTGTTCTCTGATGACTCAGTCTTTAAAAAAAAAAAAAAAAAAAGACGGGGTTTCACCATATTGGTCAGGCTGGTCTTGAACTCCTGACCTCAGGTGATCTGCCCGCCTCAGCCTCCCAAAGTGCTGGGATTACAGGTGTGAGCCACCGAGCCCAGCTGGATGACTCAGTCTTTACCCAGAATGCCAGTTTGGCCTACTTTGTTTCTGCCCTCTGTTTGGCCCCTCGGGCTGCAGCCACATTGCGTCCCTAAGACCCTCAAGCCTTTAGTATCAAATTTTGGAGACTCACATGAAGTTATTATGCAATAGCTCTCTGATTGTCTAAAACTTCTGCAAAGATGAGGATGGATTACCTCTTACTTCTGCTTAAATTTCAGGCATTAAGCCGAGCTTAATGGAAAGTTTGGTGCTTTGATCAAAGACATGTCACCTGTTGACTTCTAGAATTAACTTTGAACGAGCTCTTCTCAAAAAATGAGTGCAAAGAAACTGTTAGACCAAGATTGTTCTTTATAGGAAAATATAGGCAGTTGTTGTAGACTATTGGTTGAGTTTACAGAACTACTCTCTTAAATGATATTCAGCTAATATCAAAAAAAGCTAACGCAGCTTTTTTTTGGAGAGTAAGTTAAAATACTTAGGGCAAATGTTTTCATTCTGGTTAAAGGTGGACATGATACATCACCTTGGAGGTGCCATTGCTGTCATACTTCCCTGTAGCTTCAAAAGAGGCTAATTAAAAACAAAAAAGAGGCCTGGTGCAGTGGCTCATGCCTGTACTGTAATCCCAGCACTTTGGGAGGCCGAGGCAGGCGGATCATGAGGTCAGCGATTGAGACCATCCTGAACAACACGGTGAAACCCCGTCTCTACTAAAAATACCAAAATGGCAGGCGGATCATGAGGTCAAGCGATCGAGACCATCCTGAACAACACGGTGAAACCCCGTCTCTACTAAAAATACCAAAATAAGCTGGGCATGGTGGCACACCTGTAGTCCCAGCTACTCAGGAGGCTGAGGCAGGAGAATTGCTTGAATCAGGGAGGTGGAGGTTGCAGTGAGCTGAGATCATGCCACTGCTCTCTAGCCTGGTGACTGAGACTCCATCAAAAAAAAAAAGCAAGCATCCTCAGAAAATCTTTTTCGAAGACTCTTAACTTTTTTTTTTTTTTTTTTTTTTTTGGACAGAGTCTCGCACTGTCGCTCAGGCTGTAGTGCAGTGTCGCGATCTCGGCTCACTGCAATCTCCGCCTCCTGGGTTCAAGCAATTCTTCTGCCTCAGCCTCCCAAGTAGCTGGGACTACAGATGTGTGCTGCCACACCCAGCTAATTTTTTTGTATTTTTAGTAGAGACAGGGTTTCACCATATTGGCCCGGATGGTCCTGATCTCCTGACCTCATGATCCGCCTGCCTCAGCCTCCCAAAGTGCTGGGATTACAGGCATAAGCCACCATGCCCAGCCAACTCTGACTTACCTTTTAAGGCTAAGTAGGGTTAATTTCATATTTAGCATTTATTTTTTACAAGGAATTTGTTCATATAAATCTGAGAAGGTTCTAAAAGGCAAAACTTCAGTTATGTGGATAATTGGGTTATCCGTTATCTAGGACCACCTATCACAGTATTAGGATTATTGTAGGGGTATAAAGTAGTATAAGCAAGGTATAGTCTGTGCCACTCAGGATTTCTTTTCTAGTTTAAAACACATAAATTTATTCTACTAAAGGAGAAAGGATTAAAAAAAAAAAAGCGTTTGTTTCAAATGGTTAGAGCCTTGGTTTATAGAATGAAGGTTCATCACCTGAAATTTATACATAATACATATAAGTATATAAATATGAGAACATTAAGACGTTTAACTTTACCAGAGATGTTTCACAGGTGCACCCACAGGACAGGAGCATTTTAGTTTAGTTGTTTTTAAGTGCCTGGGAAGATGTCTACTTCAGTTTATAATACATTATCAGAATTTTATCAACTAATTTTTAAGGGACAGTGGTTCAGTTCACTTTAAGGAAGTTTGTTATCTGAACCAAGAAATGGCACACACACACAAATATTTTAGAGGCATGTTTATGTAACCAGCATGTAAAAATACACAAGCTGTTTCCCCAACCTTCTGACACTAATACTTTCAAAGTCTAAGCTAATAACTTTGTGAAAAAAAATTTAATAATCCAATTAATGGAAGCTTCTTACAGTTTTTCGAAAATTCATTTCAAAGACAAATATTAGAAGTTGTTCAGTGTCCCGTAACTATAATCTTTTAGTCCAAATACATAGTGAAAGCAGACCAATCCCTAGACCCTAAATGACCCTGGATTCACAATTCTCTCCCACCACTCCAGGTTCTGTGACTGGATAATCGGTTATTACACTTTACAGCAAAACATGCTGGTTATTAATCTAATTATAGCATACTGACCTAACAGGTAATGGTTTGTCAACTTTCACCACACAAAAAAGGATATTAAGTATGTGCAGTGACTACTCACGGTGTCTGAGGTTGCTTCAGTAATCTCCCGATACAGTTGTTTGCCTGAAAAAAGATCAAATGAATAATCCCATCATTCCTGCCCACACCATTTGAGTGTACAGAGGAAGGTGCAGATTAATAGAG